TTAAAAATAGATCTATATTTTTTTAAAAAACAAATACATWTAATTTATATATTATATATTTATATCATACTGTATTATACTTACATATAAATAAACATGTTAATTAATTATTATAATTATAGATTTTTTAATTACTTATTTGTTATATTTTATTTAATTATACAARTAGTGTTTAGCAAACAACAATTATGTGGACAGTATTGTGATTGTGGACAACCAGCCCGTCCACCGGAAACGACAGTATTTTTGATAAACAAAAAATTGTTGTTTAATAAAACTGTTATTTATTATGAAAACGAGTCTAAAGTCAAATACAAATGTTTGGACACAAATAATCTGCTTATAGGTAGCGATACGCGGACTTGTGTTTCGGGTCAGTGGACAGGTTCGCCACCAAAATGYGGTAAATTAWATATATATTTATATATTTTCTATACATTAATTTTATTATATTTACCATTAAATGGTTTAAATTAATTRAATTTGTATTAGCAATTAATTTGAAAAGTTCAATAAGATTGTCGACAATTGAAATATTGAGAAACACATCGCAGACATACATTAAAGAAATAAGTGAAACACAGTTAGCTGTTTACGAAACGGGCGTTTTTTCTGTACCATACTATCAGATGCCAACACGTTGTGTTGAATGGACAGTCTTATCTGGTGATGAACTCTGGCAAATGAAACTTAACAAACAGTCACCTATTTATTACATACAAATAGTATTATACTCTAAGCAACAAAATCTACAGAATATTCTGATAACTAATCGGGAATCTACTGTCCAGTTAACAATTGGACAGTTATGTGTACTAACTAAGCATAGTTATCGACGAAACTATTTGACACTGGAGTAYAAGTGCCAATCAAACCAACATTTAGATACAYTRGTATTTGACTATAGAAACCGACATCATTTGTCACCATTTAAGATAGCACTTTGTGAACTAAATCTATATGARTTGCCCAYAACTTGTGGATCACCTGATTATTCACTTTCTACTAAYGTTGTTACCAAAAGTGATGAAACTATTAGTTATAAATGTATTGATARCAACCTTATTATTGAAGGTACAGCTTTACTAACTTAACAATTTTCTAAAAAAAAGTTTAGCTATTTATAGTATTGATTTTTTKATTATTTTTATTTTACAGGTGACCCATATATCAAATGTAATGAAAGCACTGGTAGTTGGTCTCGGCCAACACCTATCTGTATAGTTAAATCTTATTGTCGACCAATCAATAATTTATTTGACACAAATTTAATGATATCTTACGAGGAAATGAGTCAAACAGTCGACAAAGAGTTCATTATATTTGAAGGAAAATTAGCTTATTTTAAGTGTTATAATAACTATACAATGAATGGACAGTTCAATGGCGGGGTCACCACACAAGTCATTTGTCGAAATGGCCAGTGGTTTGGTTTATCATCACTGCCCAYATGTCAACCATTAGCGGCTTTTAATTTGCATAGTATATATATATATATAAATAATTWATATTTTTATAATTTTTTATATTTAATGATATTTATWATTTGATTATTATAGCTAATAATAACGATCGTAATAATAATGATAGATTAACAGTWATAATGTTGGGCTTTATTATTGCTATATTGGCTACTCTGACAATATTACTTATTAGACGTTCAGTTAATAATAACAATGAAAATAGAAAATCTATTAACTATAACAATAGGTAAGTATTTTATAGTACTGTATTTCGTTGAGTCAAATAAAAAAAWCATTATTAAACATTATTTTAACTCAACATTTTTTAAATATATTTTATTATTATAAGTTATCACATAAATAATATTTAAATTGTAGAGTTCAAAAATATTTAATTTAATTTTCAAAAATTATTTCCATCGACAATAAAAGATTTATAGATAGATATAATAATAATATTTTATAATATAAAATCAACTAAACTAACASAAAAAAAATCTAATAATAAATTTAGTATTTGCTATAAATTCCTGAATTAATTTCTATAAAAAAATCTATTGTTTGCTTTTAAAATTTATAAATATTTGATTGAATTAATAATACTATTTTTCTTTATTATTTTTTTATACAGTGATWTCTATGATAACTTCCTATTTAATGGTTCATCAAATGATGAGCACATGTACTCTCAATACGAGATTTATGATTGCAAACTACAAACTACTAGCAAACAGTCGACTAGTAATATGAAGWGTAAAACKGATGATAATATGTTTGAATTAATTAAGACTAATGTTGGAAAATATGAKAAAAATGAGAAAAATAATAATAAYAGTAATATTTATGTCGAAAGTATGGTTTAAAAAAACTAAAAATTATTTAATTAGAGAAACAAAGTTTTAAATTWTGATATWTTAATTTATTAAWTACTTAAAATAMTTTATATTATTTTTAATAATAAAATTTTAATARTYTAGAATAAAATAATTTTATATTATAATTAATATTAAAAATCATTTGGGATTAGTATAAATACAAAATATAAATATATTATAATTCATTTTACAGATTAACAAATAATTTTTTTATTTTTATGGTAATTTTGAAATAAATAAAAAGTTTTAATTAAATAGAATTTAAAGATTTATTTAAAACTATTAATGTTATAATAAATATTAACARTACAGTTGACAAAGTATATACATATGTATTAATRTTAATAACATTTTTTTAAAAATTTATTTTTTGTCAAATTTATTTAAATATTACAWTAAAATTTTATGCAAAATATTTMAGTTTTGTTACTATTTATTGTAATAATATAAAATATATTTTGACTTTCTAACGATAAAAGGAGGGAAATTAAAATATTTTCCGAAAAAAWTTGASTGATTTTATTAGGAAACTTCCTTTCAGRGAAAGTTWGATAAMTAGAAATTGTAATAAATYAAAAATTATTTTTTATTTGTTTAATTAATTTAAAAATCTYTATTTAATTTTATTACAAAACAAAATAAAAAWTTTAGTTAATTTACAATTTWTAAATTTTTATATTTATATTAGAAATGTTAATTATACTTACTGTAAAAAAAGTTTATRAGTCCATAATACTCATATAATTATGATATAAAACAACTTTATGACATTAAAAAACTAATATTATTAATTAATGCAATTAAATTGAAAACTTTATTGTCTTATATGTTTACTATATAACATATTTATATCACTTTTTATAATCAGTMAAAACATTTATGATTTAATTAWGTATTAATTAARTATTTATTATTAYTCATTAAATTATAAATTATTGAAAATATTTACATGAATTATAATTTTTTATTTAAATTTCTAGTTATGAATTTGTTATAAAATTAATCTTTAATTATTATAAACTTTATTTAAAAACAATTAAAATGACAACAAATAAAATTTGTTTTGTTATTTTTATTTGTAATAATATTTGTTATCTTTATGTTTCATAAGATATTATATTAAMTGACAAATGTGTTGAATGAGTCAACACTGTAGTTATGATATTAAATATATATAAATATTATTTTTATTAAATTTTGCTCTCAAAATCAAGTGTTGCATATCATTGAATGACATTAAAAAACGGAAAATATATTTTACTTAAAAAATTTTGTTTTATTTAAATATATACTAACTTATAAATTGTAATTTATAATTTATGGTTTAACATGAGTTAACCCAATTTAATTATTTCAAATGTATATTTTATATTATTATTATCAATGTTCGATATGTATCAATGTCTAGAGTCTAGATTTTTTTTAGTAAAAATATTTATTTTATAACAAAATATAAACTACATTAGTGTAATGTAAATTCAACGATAAAATATAAAACATCAAATTTAATTAAATAGTAATAAAATATATTTTTATATTTAAATGTTTGATTAATTTAAATTATTATATTGTGTACACCTGTGCTATTAAGCTATAAAACTATACATTTTGGTTAACATTTTTATTTAATTTGTCCTCAAAAAAAAACTAACCACTCGTTGTCGTCGACATGAAGAATGAAACGGCCGAACAGTGCACTTGTTATCAATTGATACACTTATTGGTTGTCATACAACAGTTTGTTTGTGTATATCTGGCGCAGAACTACCCGCTTAAGGGTAGTCCAGTCGGCGCCCGACGACTCATTCAGTGTTCAATAATAGTGTTTTCGATGATAGGATTGATTGGTTCGGTGGGCGCCCATCTATACGATGATACAATACTTATCATATTTATAACTGTTTTACTTATTTACGGTATCAGTCAAGCGTTGATTTATACTAAACTTGTCAAAAATGAGCCGACTATCAGTGACTATCATTGTGTAGTGTTTATAGTGTCAGCAATGATGGCATCGCTAACGTTCACCACATTAACCACTCGACACACTTTTGGTGATTATAAACACTCGGATCATTCATGGACTTGGATGGCGGCCCCTAAAACTTAACCATTTCTAACATATCTATATCTTGCAATAATTAAAGTCCTATCTTTTATTAACTAAASTGATTATTAGTAGATAACAAAAATTATATAATATAATCAGACACTTTTATATTTTTATACTATAGATTAATTATATATATATTTTTTTATAAATTAAAACATTTTATATTTAAAACAATTAGAAACTAATTCATGTATTAGAAATTTAATTTTATTCAAAATTTTCAATTTCATTGAAATGTTTATTAAAGGYACTTAAGTAGTCCTTATTATTAAAGTATAATAAGATTATAACATAATAAATACAGTATACAAAATAAATTAACAAAACTTTTAACATAGAAATATTTAAATAAAGATATTTAAATACTGTATTAACGGTAAATTATTTTTGTTAATAAATAATAATGTAAGTAATAATTAAATACAAAAATGTTTGTTGAGTATATAAAATGTGAATTAATGCAAATAATAATTTTGCGAAACAAAATAGTAAAAGTTTAAAATTACGGTAGTTATAAAAAGTTAATAAACATTTACAAGCAATATATAAATATAATATATAATAATTCATTAAAATTATTTACAATTTTATGTAATTTCATTCATTAAAAAAAATCAAAACACTATTTAGAGTTAGTTTTCTTCGACTTTTTCTTTGCCATCTCTTTCTCTAACCTTTTCTTTTCCATTTGTTCTCTTATGGCTCTCATGGCAGGTGTCTCACCAGTCGGTGGAGAATTAGCACAAGTAGTAGTCATAGGTTTAATTGGCGGCGCTTTTCTTACATTATTTATAACCGGACTATTATCTCGACTCAGATCCAAATCTGAAGGCGAACTAATGGTATGTCGTTTGACTCGACCTCCACGTAGTACTCTATCAGTTGTTTCCGGTGTCTGRAAATCACTGCTCTCACAATACGAGCTACTATTGTCATCGCTGGCAAATAGCAATGGAGTACTAAATCTCGGTTGAAATCTACCGATTGGTGTCCTCACTGGTTGAAGATAACTGTTTGTTTGATTTTTGTTCGCCATTCGAGACCTTTTTGGTGGTGACTTTGAAACTAATGTTGATTCCTCTTCGGTGTTGTTATCGGAATCGCTTAAATCAACAATAGATATGTCYTTAGATTTAGACTTTTTATTATTTGTTGAATTTTGTTTTCGTTTTTGAGGTGACTTTGAATTAYCAGTAGTTYTGCTATTCTTTGTCGGCTTACGGCGTCGTTTAGCTGCAGTTCGGCCGTCGTCGTCGTCATCATTGTCGGACTGGTCATCATCTGTTTGACCATTATTTTCATCTTCATTATCACTGTTATCGCCATTGCTTGATGAAACACTGGCCGACGATTTGCTTTTAGCCACTTTTTCGAYCAATATTTTCTTCAATTGAGTGTAATTGGGTTCCGCATCGTAACGAATACGTGTCACTTCTTGTATAAACTCTTTGAGACCTTTAGGAACAGATTTTTTATTGAAACATTGCTTCAAAAATTTGTCCACATTTTTGACGGCTTCMTCTTTAGAAGCTTCCACTTTGTCGGCATCGGACAGACAGGACAACCACGGAAGTCGTCCATATAACCAYTCAATAAGGTTATACATAAGACATTCAATATCACTGCGTCTACTAATAAGTCCGATGTGTGCATCCCGTGACCGGTACTCAACTGTCCCATTGTTSGCCCTTTTCTTATCTGGCTTTTCATCGCGATGTTTACCGTTAGAGTCTACATATCGGTCAACATTACCGAAATCGACTAAATAAAAGTCATCAGCCGCTGCTCTGTTGGTCAACGACTTCAATATATTAGTGCCTTTGATATCGGCGTGAATATAACCAAATGTATGAATATAATGAATGGCATCTAAATAGACAATCAAACAGTTAGTTACATCTATTACCATAATTATCAYTATTATATTTATTGAAGTAACTGACCAATCATTTTGGCACAAACACCGGCCGCCTGGCCAGTGGTCAAGCGTTTTGTTTGCACAAAATGGCTTAACTCTTGACCGAACCGTTGCATTACAAGAAATCGATACTGAAGTGTCGGTCCGTTTTTATTGGACTTATGTTGACTTTGAAACTTTGTCTCTCTGTTTACTTTATTAGTCTCGCGGCTGGTCTTGTCGTGTATACCGTTGGCCACATAGTAAGGAACGCCTAAAAACTTGAGACTATATTTTGACATAAACTCATTGATAGAGTCTTCTTTAGCCACACGAAGATAGAAGTTTACTTCGGCATAGAGAGGGCCGTCTTTGTTGTCCAATTTGATCACATGGTTGTCCTGTCGGTCCGATTTGCGACGACACGAGTAGATATCACCGAAACCACCAGATCCTATGGATGAACCTATTGGTGATAAATAACAACAAAATATAATTAAAATGTAAATTCATATGAAATCCAAGTCATACCTAATATCCACTCTTTATTTGTTGAGTCGATAAGAGTCTCGCCTTTTGGCAACGGATCGCACAATCGGTAGCCATTGGCCGCAATCCGTGCTATTAATCAATACAAATAATTAGTCACAAAACTGATCACACAATCAATGAGACGATTCGGTAATCGGATCCGTAAAGACAAACCCACTTATCATACCTTTRACGCCGGCTTTGGTCTTGGCTTTGGATGTCATGTCTTTCAAGTGACGAGTTTTTATTGTTGTCGTACGTCTGACTGTCCACTGATATTAAGTGCTTATAAATAGCAATAAATATCAATTGATCCGATGATTATGATAATAATACAAGTAATTTATGATAATTATTGTCATCAGCGGTGGTCATCACTTCAATAGCTATTAACATAACGTAATGTATAGTAAAGTGACATAAAGTGCGCCAAACAGTCAGGCATTCAATAATGTGTTTGTATTTTATTATTGCTATTAAATGTTCAATAATATCGTTTGCATTACAAAACAGACAGTCAATGAAAATTGATTTWTATATTACACTACATTTGAGCGCAKTATATAAACTTACAATAAAAATAAAATGTARATCACAGTAAATATTGTATATTTAATGTTAAATCATAATTATAATCATTATTTTATTTTATTTATATTTTCTGTATTTTATAAATTATATTTTAATGTTTTTTAATTTTTGCAAAAATACAAATKCAAACATTWCTTTGTACTTATTATTGTAATYTTAAAATTTGAAAAATGCAACTACACTGCAGTACTCTAGTAATGCTTTTAATTAATTTAWAAAGTTAAATTATTACTTTAATTTAATTAAATTAATTAATWAATATAGTATTACTTAAAAAAACTTAATTTTAATGTCTACTTAATTAAAAATAAATTTATACTGTATATAAGTTATATAAAAGTTAATTTTTACTTAAATCTAAATAAACTACAATCTARATTAATCAAGTTTAATATAAATAAAAATTAATTTTTATAAATTAAAAAATTAGTTAAAATTTTTATTCATATTTTTTTAGTCTTTTCTAATAATAATARTTATAARTTACATAATTTAAAAATACATAATAAATTTGTGCATCTAATAAGTAAATAACATAATTAAATCATTGAGTTTTGTGTAGTTGGCACTCATTTTTAATAAATTTATGTGATTTAAATCTAAATAAACTACATATTCTAAATTAATCAAGTTTAATATAAATAAAAATATAATTGTGTATTTATAAATTCAATATAATGTGAATGTTTATAGATTTGTGAAATTTTTAAATATAATTTTAATGAGAAATTTCTGTTGGCATTGTATATACAATAATAATTTTCTCATTAAAATTATATTTAAAAATTTCACAAATCTATAAACATTCACATTATATTGAATTATAAATAAATACACAATAACATATCTAATTTAAACACAAAATATATCTCATAATAAATTTGTGCATCTAATAAGTAAGTGATTAAAACATAAATTTATTAAATTAAGTTTTTATCACTTTTCATATACTCTTATCATTAATTGTACTGTTATCATCAATTAACCATGAGGCGTCGTTCACATATTACGTTCGCACTTTTTAAGAAATCTAGACCCCCTCCCTCCCCTATGTTCGCAATTGTTCGCATGTAGTCATTTAAAAAAATTACGTTCGCTTAACCCTAACCCTAACCCCCCCCCACAATATATAAGATATTATCTAAATGCGAACGTTCTTAAAGTCACCCCTCCCCTCCCCCCTTGTTTGCAAAAGTTCGCTTTGGCTAACCCCCCCCCTCCCCTCAAGTGCGAACGTAATATGTGAACCACGCCTGATCAATTCAATGTAAGTATTAGGCAAACTCTAATCAGTTATTAGACTCTAATCATTAGAGTATAAATTATATGTACAATACAATCATTATTAACAAATAAACTACTATTTCATAACATTTTTATATAAATAGAGCTGATTTTAAAAAATAAAAATTATTCAAAATAAATTTTAAAAATAAGAAATAKTTTTATTTTAGAAACAAAAGTRTCAATTAAATAATTATAATGTTAACTATAATTATTATATCAACTTTWATTATTATTATTTTATATTTTCTATCAAAATGGTTTGTAAATTTTAATTTTATAGTAATATTTTAATTATATAATACAGTAATGTTTATAATTAATTAATTATATAAAATTAATTTATAGGTATTTTAGCCGACATTTCAGTTTATGGTACAAACAGGGTGTCCCCGGTATACACCAATTGGAACCATTGATGTTCAAASCGGGTTATCTTCACGAAACATGGCTCAGYCGACGCCAGAAATTTGGTCCCATCTATGGCTATCACGAACTGTTCCGATCGGTTCTGGTTGTCAACGAACCCGACGTAATTCGTGAAGTTTTTGTCAAACATTTTGACAACTTTTCCAGTCATAAGCGCCGTGTGTTCGGCGACGATGTCTTTGACCACAATCTGTTCAATTTGATTGGTGACGACAGTTGGAAACGGATCCGTGATCTTTGTTCGCCAGCTTTTACTTCATCTAAACTCAAAGCTATGACGGCATCAATACAAGAGATCAGTAAYAGTTGTATCGATAATATTAACAAACARTTTGCTAAACAAAATAAAGGTAATATATTTTTAATATATTTATTGATATGAATAAMAAAATTAATATTATATTTTAATAAATATTTAAATTACAAGATTGTAAGTCCATTGAATTGGATATGCGATTACCGATATCGGCCTACATTATGGATGTTATTAATAGTGTAGCCTTCGGTATTAAAACCGATGCACTGGACAATCCGGATCACCCGATGGTCAAGTATGGCCGTAAGGTGTTTGACATAAAGTTCAGTTTCACAAATATTATGTCAGTGTTTTTCCCGAGACTGGCCAAACTTATGGGCTTACAGTTGTTTGATGCCGAAGCCATAGGCTTTTTCAAAAATCTRACCAATCGATTGGTCAAAGAGAGACGTAATGATAGCTCAGGTATTACATAAAATAATTCATGCAATACTTTATTGTATTTATCATACAATTTGTTTTWAAAAAATTTATTCATTGATTTTTTTAAGGTGTTAAGCGCACTGATTTTCTGCAAATGATGATAGACGCTAATAACAGAGATAGTAATGATTTAGCTAACGGTGCGACTAATGATAAATATAATAAACAGGATGTCTATGAATATGACGATAAGGACAATGCATTGGCACTAAAATCATTGAAAAATAATCACAAGTYGTTGTCAACTATTGAGATGACGGCCCAGTGTTTACTATTTTTCACAGCAGGTATGGACAGTACTGGTGGAGCACTGTCGCATATAYTCTACTATTTGGCCAAACATCAGGACGTTCAACAAAAACTGTTAGACGAGCTCAGGGATGTCCGTGACTACAGTATCGAGTCGTTGCAAGCGCTCGAGTATTTGAATGCCGTAATCAATGAAACATTAAGACTGGCACCACCTATATTGGGCACTGAACGGGTGGCCATAAAAGATATTACTATTAACGACATTTATATACCTGCTGGAACTGTAGTCTGGGTGACATCCTATGCCCTGCATCGCGACAGTCGTTTTTGGTCAGAGCCTGATCTGTTCAAACCTGAAAGATTTTTGGGAAACRTTAAACCCTATCCATACAGTTTGATGCCATTTGGTGCCGGACCACGACTTTGCTTAGGCATGAGATTTGCATTAATTGAAATTCGCATAATTGTTGCGAAATTAGTGCAAAATTTTCAACTAAAACTCAATTCACAAACACAGGTATGCTTTGCAATAACCTTATTATTATTATATAAATGAAACGATTTATATTTACATATTAGGTTATCTTAGTTTTAATATTTTAATTTGTTTGTAATTTTATTTTATTTTATTTTTGCTTTTATTTTTAATTCATTTATAGCTTGAATATCGCACTCATAACGCATTTTTCTCGCCAAAACAATTAGTGCTAACTATTGAAAAGCGTTAAAAACTTTTTTTTAATCATAATTGTGAAATATGTATTATATAATATAACATATATATCCAACAAGTTTTCTCATAATAAATTATAATTAATTATTTTTAATATAATAAATAACTTAATAATTGTATTTATAAAATGCTTGAATTTTATTGATTTTGTTACAATGATTACAAAGTTTTGTATTTTAAAGATTTTAATGTATCTAATATGAAATAATGATATCTAATAACAATAACAAAATTGTGGTTATTCAAACAAATCTAGTAATAATAATAATAAATTACTTTTTAAATATGAAATTATCTTATATAATCACTAATCAAATAATCATATTAATAATCAAACCATTAAAATTTTCAATTTTCAATTGAAAAAATAACAAATTTATATAATATAATAATAATTTCAATAGATTTTTATAGTTATACGCATGACTTTTTAAAGTCCACACAAAACACAATAGTAAATGACAAGTACTGAATGTACTGTACTCTACAATATAGAAAATACCTGTTTGTTTAATATTTTATTTTATTGGGCGCTAAATATGATATACTTGTCAAACATAAAAGTAAGTTAAAGTGATTTTTTATTTTGAAAGAAATTGTGTAAAAGTAATCATAAGTTTTTTTTTATAATATGTAAAGGTATTTAGACTCATAAATTAAAAGTCATTTAATTAAAAATAAAAATAAATCTCTATTATTATTTTTATTGCCATATTTACTGTAGTATTATTAGTGTGATAATTATTTTATTTTAATAATATGAATGATATGCATTATGTTTAATTGGATTTATATAAAATTTGCGATCAAAAAATTTTTGGTATATATATTTTTGATTTATTAATTGTTTTATCTTATAATTTTAATAGCAATTATTTTAATTAACTATTTAATATTCATAATAATAWTATTATTTTTTTCTAAACCAGTGTGTGGCGGATAAACCAAATAATTTAATAAATTAATAAATATTAATAATAATAGTTAACTATATTTTTGTAATAATGAAAATTTATTTAAATTAAATGCAAATCATAAGCAATATMTTTGTGTTTGGTTTAAGGAAAATGTACCCCAAAATACTCAATGACACCAACAGTGCCAATGATTTTAATAATGATTAATATTTGATAATTAACTAATAGAAATCATGGATATAATAAAAGATTTCAATAATGATGAGAAAAATAATGATTTAAATTATAAACACGAAAATACTAACCACAACCTACTAATAGACGACAAAAATGTGATTATCTATGAATTATTAGGTGATAGTAGTAATAGTAGTGATGAAAATACTAGTAGTGATAGTATTAGTTGCAATACTGACGAGTCATACGGTGGTAATTATTTTCATAATATTATTAATAATAATAACAATGATAGCGAAGGAATCAATGTTTACGATAGGAGACGACAACACCAACAACTTGAGGATAGTATTGAAGACTACAAGTGTGTCGTTAAACGATTGACATCAGAAAAGTCCAAACTTAACGATGAGATACTGGCTTTGGAGGAACAGATCATCGATTTGTTAAATGATAAGCAAAATAGCGAAAAATTTCTACAAAAACAAATCGATAGCTTAAGACTAAAATGCGATCATTTTGTCTATACTATTGATGAACTGAAGGCCTGTAATCAGTCATTAAATGAAAAACTTAACCAAAAATGCGAAGAAAATCACGATTTAATAAAACGATTGAAAGACATTGAAGATAAGGTATGTGTAATAATAAATAAATAAAATAAATCACTAATTAATTGCATTTATTTTTATGTAATTTTATTTATTTTTTATAATCACATTTCAAGTTTATTTTTTAATATTCGCAAAATTATTAATATATAGCAAAAATTTCTATAATTTTTGGATTTCACTTTTTTTGTACAAATATTTTATTAGCATTTATAGAGTAAGGAAAATAAAGTTTTTTTTGAGTAACTAATAAATATTAATATAAAATGTAAAAATTATGAGAATATCATTTATTTTTAATTTTATTTTTTTCTAACAAAAAATGCACATAAAAATTAAATCTTTCCTTCAAATTAGTGATTGAAATCATTGATTTTTTAAATATTATTTTCCTTTTTTAGCTAACATCATAAACAGTACAATATTGTGTACTATTAGTATCAAATGTTGTAATATCATAAATTTATATAGTGTACAATATATATATATATATATAAATATATAGGGTATATAAATTTTTATAACTTGACTAAAATTTAATATTATGTATTTTTATCAGACTAATTTTTTTTATAATATGAATTTTTTTCATAAATTAACAAATATGTGATTCAGTGAATTTGAAATTTTTAACACACAAAATAATTTATTAATAGTGATAACTAACATAATATGATGATAATATTAATAATATTAAATAATTATTCAAAGTGCTATACGTGAATCGTAACTTGAACTATCTAATTATAAAACATGCAATTTTTATACATACAGTTATATAAAATTTTATGTGTATTTTATTTWTTTTTTACAAAAATCTAGTACATAAATTGAAAAATTTTAGTTAGTTTTTTATTTTATTTTTAATTCATTATATATATATAATGGTGTTTTTTGAGGTGTTTTATAGTAGAAAAATATTTAATGAATCTAAAAATTGTATTTGTAATAAGTAACACCATTATCATTAACTTCAAAAATTATTTACAGATATAACTTTACTTAATATTATAAAAAACAGCTACTGTACACTAATGGTGTGTTTATAAAGTTATTAAAAAAAATTTAGTATTGTTTTTTTTAAAAAATCACAATTGTATATATTTGTATTTTTTTGTTAACAACACATTTTTTATAAATTAAATTTAAGTGCATTAAGTGTTTAACTAAAATCACAAATTTAACAATTAATATTGTTTAGTGCACTATTTGATTGAATTCAAGGTAATATTTCAGGTAATTTCCTTTTTGTTAAAAAAATAATTTTTATTATAACAAATAATATTTACTGTATATTTATTAGTACAGTATTGGTACAAATTATGACTATTTAGTAAGCAATTATTTTTTTTAAAGACAATTATAGTTCAAATTATATTTTTTGTCTAATAAATATTTGCTAAAAAAAGTGAAAACATTTGCTTCCAACAAATATAGTTATTAGACTTTTCAATTTGTTTTACACCCTATGTTTACTAATACTGTATGATATATTGTAGTTTATTATTCATATTTTTATAGCACCTAATTATAGAGAAATAATTAAAAACATTATCACAATTTTTTTTTTAAAAAAATTAGTCTAAACAAAAACAACAACAACAAAACAAAAATACATTTTAAAATATATTTAAATATATATATATATATATATTATCTATTTATAGCAATCGCATAACGAGTACCTGATATATGAGGCCAATAATATTGAGACCCAATTGAAACAAACATTAATTGCAACCGAAGAGAGATTGTCGGCACAAGTCTTGTGTAACAATGAACTAATTGAGGCCTTAAACCAATTAATGATAGATTTCAACGATAGGGACAACAGTATTGTTGAACTCAATCATCAATTGATTTCATTACGACAACAGATCTCCGACAGAGACAGTGAGCTCTTGTTTTGCAGGTTTTCATTATTATTATATTATATTGTTATCAATAATAATAATAATTATTATTATTATAATAATCTAATTATAAATTATTTTCTATTTAATTCTTTGACAAACTTTTTATTTTATTTTTATTTCTTACTATGTTTTCCTAATTTTTTTCAATTAAAACTACAATAACATTATTATTACCAAATCTTTTTTGGGATTTTCAATACTTTACATATACATTACATTAATTTAGAAATTGTAAATTACAGTACGTGTATAATACTGTATATCAATATACAGTTTATTGGTTTTATTTTTGTTAAATATATGTGAAAATTTTATTATTGATACAAGTTTTAACACATAAACAACAGTGTTTATTAACATTGTCGCACATATCATATTATTTATATAGTCAACAAATTTTACCCATCATAATAAAATTTTATTTTTACATATTAATATACAATTAATTTTCTAAAATTTTCTAAAATTATAATATTATTATTATGAGTTTCATGTGATAAACAATAGAGAAAAAAATTGTTTTGATATCCAATATTATATTATATATACAAAAAACACCAAAAAAATGTTGTTGAACTACTTATAAAAATGTTTATTCAAATTTATGTAATACATAAGTACTAGTACTGTATAATCATTATCTATGCCCTTAGAGAGAGTACTAAACAATATAATTTAAAGGTATATATATATATATATATATATATAAACAGTATATGTGTTATAAAGTAGTTTAACAGCTAAATCTTATTATTAGTTTGTATGTACTGTAGATATAGTACTGTATTTATTGGGTATTTCCCAAATATAATTAGTTAGCTTTTCTGGCATTAATATATTAGCGTACAATTTGTTTATGTCATAAACTAATTTATATATATATATACAGTATATTGTTGTTATATTGCATTCAACAAATCAAAGGTGGAAAATACCATATTTTTTAAAATAAAAATATTAGGATTTTTCTCACTTTTAAGCCTAATGTTTAATAATAAGCAGATACTTTAATTCAGGCGTTTTAATAATAAAGTTTGTTTTTAACACTTTAAACACATTTTGTTTTAAATCATTTCAATTTAATCGCTACACCAATAATGTTGTGCACAATAAGATTATTTTTAATTTGTGAATAATATTTCGTAATATATATATTAATACATTTACGTATATATAATTTACTGTTATTGTGACATTACATATGATTTAGTTATTGAATAATTTAATTAAAAAATATATATTAATTATAAAAAATATATATAATTAATCAAATATGTTGTTTAACACAATTTGTTACGTAAACAACACATCAATGAAGAGCCGTCGGGCGACCAATGGATTAGATTTTACTAAACTTGCAATTTTGCCGCCAATTCTTGAACATCAAATTGACAGCGGCTTGAGGTCAGAGATCTATAATTAATCTCTTAATTAATCATTTTTTTGTAAATTATTATAATTTTTGTAGAAAATGAGTTTTCTATTATAATAATAGTTTTTTTTGTTTATATTGAATAAAGAATATATTCATTCATTAGCTATTCATTTGAATAACAAATTTTTAGTCACAAATCTTGTGTTTTGTTTATTTATTTTGAATGTTAAACAAATTATTTCCTTTGCTTTATCTCTCTCTCTCTCTCTCTCTCTCTCTCTCTCTCTCTCTCTCTCTCTYTCTTTCATTCATTCACTGGTTTACTCTCGAGTTTCCACTTGATCTCAATTCTAAGATATTTTTCTTAACAAACTGAAAATAATATCAATTTGTGTCTAAATATAAAGTTAATAAATACATATGTATTCATATATATTATATATTAACAGAAGTGTAGAGCAAAGACACTCTCATTCAGATGACATACAATTGTCGGCTAAGACAACATCATCGACAACAACAACAAAGACAACTTCAGCCAAAAGTACACCGAATGGCAACAAATTTAAAAATAGTGATAAATATTTAATTAATTATTATGTAAGTTATGATTATAATAGTATACTATTTATATATATATATATATATAGTATAATTTATATTGTATGTCATTGTTTATCTAAATATTTGCTTAATATTTATGAAAAACTTTGATATATTTATTACAAAATTTATTATACCTTTCAATGAGCTTAACTGTTATTTCTTGTTAAATACAGTCACTAATGGATCAATTGAACGAAGATATGTATGAAAACATGACTGACTTTAACCATAACTATCATAACACCAATACCATCAACAATGAAAGTCAATATTATGAGGTAATTGATTTAATTGAATAATAATAATTATTATAAATATTGTTATTTATGTATAAAATGTTTATCATCTATATATGATTTTTTTATTAGCAAAATGAGATCAACGATGACATTGAAACAGACAACGATTCTGTGCACAGTAAGCCAACCCAACCGTCCTCACCAAAGTCGTCCTCACAATTGTTTCCATCACTTCCCGATGTGATCTTAAGAAAATTAAAACTACTTTGTGAAAGTTCATGCAGGTTATTATCATATTTTATTTTATTTAACAATTTATTGTTTTTTAAATAATTTTTTATGATTATTTAAAAATATAAATCCATTTTTAATTAGTGTAATTGAAATTTAAACATTATCTATGATTTAAATAATATCTATACAATATAAATAACATAAAATGTTTAAGTTTATATGAATTTTTTAAAATTTATATTTAAATCATATTTATTAAAAAAAAGTATTTAATTTAATCATATGATATTTGTAATAATGTTACATTTTATATTAAAAACTAATATTATGGTAACATATAAGCAAATATGTACTGACAATCATTGTGTCACTAAAATGTGTGACTCTCTCTCTCTCTCTCTCTCTTTAATCCTGTCTATAAATGTGTCTCTAAATTATATGGTTTGATAAAAACAAAAACAAATGTCTATAAAAAAATATACAAAAGGAAGGAATAACAGTTTCTGTCAGTTAATAAAAATACACTACATTTTCAACAATTAATTTGTCATTTAAATTTATAACTCAAATAATAAAATATATACTGTAAATAGGTTTATATTACTTAATAAATTTTAATTACCACATTAACTTTAATATATAATAATTTAATAATATTTAAACCATACATTTTCTCATATAATACTTAATACAATACTTTCCGCAATACTGTCTTTAATATTACAATTTTATTTAACAAACACTTTGCATTGATTATTTTTTAAAATTTAATAACTTTATTAAATTTAGTTATTATATTATTATTAATAATAATTATGTTTAAAACGGTGTCACTCTATGATGTGGTTAAGACAGCAATTTCAGCCAAAAATGAGAGGTTTAATAATTTTCTCAAAAAAAATAATTCCCTAAAAACTAATACTCAATAATATTATATTTAAATTTAAATATTAATAATTTTTTATGCAACTAATTTGTAAACATTAAAATACAGTATAAATTAAATGCAAATATTGTATAAATATATAATATTTATTAAAAAAATTTAATTTTTAAATATTTATTTTTTCAATTTACTAAAGTATTGAAAGTTTGACTGAAGAGGAAATTGATTCAAAGTTTACGACATTATCGTTGGCTTTTAAGACCGATAAGTCAACAATGACTCAGAGGGTAGACCTGCACCGACATCAACGAGATGTGGCCGAAGTGGACGCACATAATGAGCTACTATTGCTTCGGAAGTACATACAGCAGTTGCAACAGATATTGTTGGGCGATAGTGACAGTGATAGCGGTGACAATACTAACAACAGTGTCGGCAATTATATGATGACGACTGATGTTAGGGAAGCCATTACTAAGATTACCAGTCAAGTAGACGTTATTGAACAGACAAATCATAAGATATCCTCTCGGAGTGAACAATACGGTGCCATTAAACAAGAGGAACGGGTCAGTCATGCCGTAGAGGTGATGGTCTATCATACGGATAATGTGCGCAAACAGTGCGAAAAGTATCGCAAAGATTTGGAAAAAACTAAAAATCTAATGAAAACAATGGTTAATAAAAGTGTTGTCGATTTGGATACTGATTCGGACACTGAGTCAGTACCCATGAGACGCTCCATTAGATCCATATCGACAACAATTTTACCAAAAATGGTAAGTTTTTTTTAAATAAATAAATWAATTAAATTAATTATTTAGTAGAAAAAATTATATAATAATTGCTTTTTAACTATCATAGTTAGTAGCTTGCATTAAGTACTAATAAATTAGTTTTTAAGGAGTAATGCACTGCAAATTATAAATTGCATGTATATTATTGTGCCATTAGTTTTTTTTGAGCAAGGTCGTCAATTTATTAATTATAGTCATCAATCAAATGGCTATGTTTAGTATATTGCACCAGTGGCTTATTTAGTCTGGATTAGTTTATTAAATAGAGTAGTAGTAGTAGTAGTAGTAATAGTAGTTTAATTTAAATTTATGATATTTATTTTGTGGTGAAACACACACCATATTTCTCACAGAACTTGATCCGAGTTCGGAGAGCAAGTGTCTCGACGAGTGATTTATTGCCGGTAAGACACAAGAGATAGTAGTTATCACATGAAGTGTTATTAAGTTATTAATAATAAAATTATTTATTTATTATTAGAAAAAGTAGTAATAAAAAATAGTTTTAAAAAGTAGTATACTTTGAATTAATTAATTTATAACTTGAAATTATATTTTAATTTAATAATCAATATAATTGTATTTTTTAATTTAGTTTTTATTTAATTTTAAATTTCAATACAATTAATTGATTTATATTATAGAATTTGGATAAACACCGAAAATCAGTGCAAACTCCTAGTGTGCGGCCATCTATAGCATCGGTGGCCTCATATCTGGCCAACCGATCTCGACGCCAATCAATGCCGGCCACGGGATCTATAATATACCGAAACACGCGAAACAACGGTCTGGAAGGCAGTGCTGAGACATCATATCTGGAGATAACGACTGAAGAAAAGTGTGGCTCAGAATCGGACGGCGCCTCAGAATCGGTGACCGATTATAAACCCGATTCGGATGACGACAACAAAATCGTAGAAAATACTATGTCTTTAGCCGATGAAATGAATTTGTCGTCAATTAATCAAAATTCGAGAAGTATTTTAAATGATATACAAATCAATGAATCAAATGATGACAATATTGGTAAAGATGAGGACATCGAGGATGACGAGGATAATCAAGTAGTGGCCAAATGTGACGATATTTATTATAATGATGTTAACGATAATCAACAAAAACACAGCAAATTAACAAATATGTATGTATTTCATTGTGTTTTAAACTTTAAACTCTAATTATTAACTAAAATATTTTTGTTTTGTATTAGATTTCGACATTTAAGTGATGAGAGTGTCACTAATTTTGTCCAATTTTTGCCAAAAGACTATCGATATTTTATTTTAATATTATTGATAATATCGACAATAATTGTGGTGTTTTGGTCACTAATGACAATAGGTTTTCCCTGCGATTGTCGGTGCGATTGTTCATTAAGTCATATGTTTAGTGCAATATTTCCTTTTACATCAGCATCTCATCCATCAAATCACGACAAAGTCAATCAACTTCTGTGAACTTTTATTTTAATTAACAAAAAATCATTTGATTAAATTGCATCATAAACTTGTTATTAACTAATATTATATATTTATATTTATGTTTTGTAAAAATATTTAATATTTATAATTATTGACCATTTGGTATTCAATTGACAATGTATTATATAATTTCTAACTAATTTTGAATTTTGTTAAGTATATTATTGATACTTTAATAAAATAATAAAATATTTTTGTTGTAAATAATCTAAATCATATACTATTAAAAAAATATATTGCATTTTACGGTATGAAATTTATAAACTAATAAATGATAAAACTATTACGATAAGAGTACAATACTATTATGATAAGCGAACAGTTAGCTTAAAATTGATAGGTACTGTCTATCAAACATTTATTTATAGATAAATTAATTTAATGACATAAAACAGAGARAGAGAGAGAGAGAGAGAGTCTTAAACAGCGGCGATGATAGCGGCGATACTATTAATTACAATTATCTGGTCAACAATACGTTGGATTTAAAAGTGACCAAGGTCAAAGTTATAGATAATTTAAAACTAAATAAAATTGTAATTGATCAATTTTAATTAATTGTATAATTGGCAAGATAATTGCAGTYGACTATTATTTTTATAATTTTCTTTAACAGTCGACTTTAAATTATCTGATGAAATAATACAATTAATTTTTAAAAAATGACCAATTACAATCTTATTTAGTATAAAATTATCTATAAATATGACATTGGTCACTTTTAAATCTAATGTATTGTTGACCATATAATTGTAATTAATAGCATCGCCGCTATTATCACCGCCGCCGCTGTTTAAGACTCTCTAAATAAAACAAGTTTGACTACAATTGATTACAAGGATATATGAGTGTTAATAACATAAATAAAAAGTTTTTTTTAAATATCAGTAATTAGTTAAATTGAATGATGAAAATAAAACATACATTTGTGCAACAATTTTATTGTTTTTTGAATATAAAAAAGAATACATATTTTAAAAAATTAATAGTTATTTAATAATATTTTTAAAAATAATATCGACAACAAAAATGTTGCCAATTATAGCTACTTTAATAGCTGGTGTTACCATTTATATTGCTGCAAAAAAGTAAATATAAAAAAATACACTAAAATATAAAATATTTATTTTTTCGAAAATTTTTATTTATAATAGATATTTTAAACACCGATATAACTATTGGGAACGACAGGGTGTGCCGGGAGCTAACTGTTTGGAACCCGGAATCTTTAAACCACAATATGTACATCAATCAGATGTCAAGAAAAGTGAAGAATTTGGTCACATCTATGGATACTATGAGTTCTTTCGTCGCGGAATTGTTATCAACGATCCCGATATGATTCGCGAAGTTTTTGTCAAACATTTCGATAAATTCAGTGATCACAGGGAACTGTACTTCGGTGAAGATGCCATCAACGAGAATCTGTTTAATTTGCCGGGCGATGACCGCTGGAAACGTATCCGTAATCTTATATCACCGGCCTTTACATCAGCAAAACTTAAGGGATTGATGGCACCGATCGATGAGATATCAGATCAATTGGTTCATAATCTTCGAAAATTAGTCGATGAACACAATGGTTCTGTAGAGTTGGATATTAGGGGACCTATAGCTGCATACCTGAGTGATTTGACCAATTCGTTTGCATTCAGTATAAAAACTGATGCCTTGAAAGATCCTAACCAACCGATTGTGAAGTTTGGTCGCAAAATATTTGCGGTTGAATTCAAATTTTCGTTAGTATTGGCCGTATTTTTGCCAAAATTGGCTAAATTTTTACGCGCCGAACCATTTCCCGTCGATGCCATTAACTATTTTAAACAGTTAACACTAGAATTAATAAAAGAGAGACGAAATGAGGGCTCAGGTATCTGTTTAATATGACTTTTTTTAAATAAACATTTAATTAATTATTAAAAATTTATTGATTTTTATAGGATATAAAAGAAACGATTTCTTGCAGATTATGATTGATGCCAACAATGAAGAAGAAGTCAATGAACAGTCGTCGGAAAGTCTTGAGAAAGAAATCTATGAAAGTGACGACACTTATCGTCAAGACGTTAAGCCGTCAGTTACTAACCATACGTTGAGTACCGTTGAAATGACTGCACAGTGTATACTGTTTTTTGTGGCCGGTTTTGATACGACCGGCTCAACCTTATCCCACTGTTTGTACTATTTGGCCAAATATCCAGATATTCAACAAAAACTATACGAAGAAATCGACTCAATCGATGACTATGGCGTGGATTCGTTGGCATCACTTAAGTATTTGAATGCCGTTATCAACGAAACACTGCGTTTCGCGCCTCCTATACTACGAGTAGAAAGAGTAGCCAATGAAACGGTTATCATTAAAAACATAGAGATACCGACCGGTACTGTAGTGACTGTTACTCCCTATTCATATCATAGAGATGAACATTATTGGGACGAACCGAATAAATTCAAACCGGACCGCTTTATTGGCCACAAACACAATCCATATCTACTGATGCCTTTCGGTAGTGGTCCGCGACTGTGTCTGGGCATGAGGTTTGCACTCATTGAAATACGGTGCTGTGTGGCCAAAGTGGTTAAACATTTTAAGCTTAAAATAACACCTACCGATCCTCATGTATGTACTGTTTGATATAAAGTTTTTTTAAAAATATTTTTAATACTTTATGTAAATATTAATTCAATTGTCTTACAGCTCGAGTATCTCATCGGAAGTGTATTTTTTTCGCCTAAAGAGGTGGTGTTGTCTCTGGAAAAACGACAATAAATATTATACTATTATATAATGTTATTTATTTCAGATATAATTAATTTGAAAAAATAATTTTTAAATAATAAATGTCAATAATTTACACAATAAGTTCATTAAGTTGTGTAGTGTATTGTAATAAACAGTACATTAATCAAAATGTATTAATATTATTCGATACATTTATGATATTTTTGTAGTATATATTTGTGTAATTAAATTAATGATAATGACAAATATTTAATGTGATTAAACCCAATTAACAATATAATGCAAGTATTATTGCCAATTAAACCAAATAATAACAAATTAACATTGAAATTAAAATGTTACATTTATTATACAGTAATTAGGTAATAACATGATATTTGCATTAATATGTGATATAAATATATATATATATAGTAATATGAAATTATAATTTTGTTATTGAAGAATTTTTTATTAACTTTCACATTTACAATGCAATAATTATAGTAATTATTATTATTACTTAACATAATTTATTTTCATTGAAATTTACAAAAAAAAACTATTTGATTATAAACTATATATTTTGCTTTTATTAATAGGTGTAAAAATAATACGATAAAAATAAACTTATTGTTTACTATATATGTATTGTAATTTAAAAATACTGTCCGCAAAATTATCTGATATAATAAAAATATTATTATATTATTATTCATTAAACTATATTATACTTTATTTCTAATGTTTAATAAATTCATAGTTTTTGAATTAATGATATTTACTAAATGTTTCTAAACTATTGAATATATTATTTGTTTAAACTAAAGYTTACTCTAATTTTATAATACCTATATMTATTGATATGATAAATATAAAAACAATTAAGTAAACTATATATTTTAATACTATATATTAAGTCATTTATATAAAATAATTAATAATTCTAAAAAACATTGATCATTAAAATGTTTGATTTTCTATATTGATAATTTATTAATACAAAATAAAAACAATCAAATATACAATAACTTRTACTAAATTATACTAATTGTTTTAAAACAAATAAAAATAATCGTAAGTATTATAAGCATTTTTTTCAAAAATTKTATAAARTATTTAAATGCCAAGGTTAGRTCAATAATAATAAATATTAAAAAATTAGCTAAATTATGAATAATGCAATAAAATATGATATAATATTGAATTATTAATTTAGATGATAACATCAACACCGATAGTACCTATAAATGGTTATAATATGGCATTTGATAACATAATGATGAGTCAAGTGTTTCCCGAAACAAACAATATTTACCGAAACGGTGTTAACATAAATCCCAATTCTTTTACTGTTGTTTGGAAGGACGTGACCTACAAAGTACGGCACCGACTGTTTCGCGAACGGATTATCATTAACAATGTTAGCGGCTTTTTTAAAAGCGGTCAAATAATGGCCATTATGGGTCCGAGCGGGTGCGGCAAATCATCACTGTTAAAGTGTTTGTCGGGCAACAAAAAAGCAGGCGTTTCCGGTTCGGTCACTGTTTCTACTAAACGAAAGGTTTGAATTGATTTTGTTTTAAATTTATTTGTATTACACAAATGAATGACAAAACTAATATAAATTATAGCTCAAAGTTGCGGTCATACAACAGGACGACTATTTGGACAAACGGTTGACAGTAAGAGAATCGTTGAATTATGCCTCACGGCTGAAGAATTTGGCTGAAATTGATCACAAGTCTAATGTGGAATCGGTTCTCAAAAAATTGGAAATTGAGAAATGTGCGGACATACGCACCAAACGATGCTCAGGTGGTCAACGCAAACGGGTATCTATAGCACTGGAACTGCTTTCCCGGCCAAACATACTGATTCTTGATGAACCCACCAGTGGTCTCGATTCGGTGACCACTTGGCAATTGGTCAATATGTTGGTCGATCTTACCAAACATCCGACAAATCCGATTGCAATAATAGCCACTATTCATCAGCCAAGTGGCCGATTATTTAATTTGTTTAACTCTGTATATATCATGTCATTTGATGGCCAGTGTATGTAYCAGGGTGTGCCGCAAGCTTTGGTCAACTTTTTGGGCCAATACGGACTCAGATGTCCAAAGTTTCACAATCCGTCTGACTTTGCACTGGAAGTGGCCTCTAAAGAGCACGGCATCGGACGGGTATTACTATTGTCGTCTATTATGAAAATAGAAGCACTGGATCTGGTGGCACATCCTTATAGAATTGTACCATATTTTAGTTATAATACTTTACGTGATATATGGATACTAACTAAAAGGTATCGGCRCTGCYGTTATTATTAGATTATYTATTGTTAATAAATTATTTATACAAATTTACAGGTCATTCAAGTTATCTTATCGGGACATCTGGATGTTACCACTCCGTGTGATTGCACACATACTAACAATTATACTAATCGTACTGTTCTGGGGTTCGGAAAGTGGTCACCTATCTGGATGTCCGTCAGATTTTATTGGTGATTCGGGCTCCTATGTTGAAAACTTTGACAAAGTCAGCAATAAACTTATTGAAAACTACGGGTGCATTATCTTTATAATAATGTTTACATGGTTTGGCTCCATATTTGCCGTTTTGCTAACGTTCCCCTCGGAAATGAATCTCGTTATTAAGGTATTGATGATAAATATCTAACATTTCATATTGATTTGTCCCTACAGTATATCTAATTATATATATTTTTATATGTATATAGGAATACAGAAACGGTTGGTACTCATGCTTCTCCTATTACATGGGACGTGTCATTGTCGACACATTTTGGCAATTTATAATACCATTGATATTTGTCATACCTTGCTATGTATGGACCGGTCAATACTGGGATGAAGATAATCAGCGATGGCGTCTCTATTATTTTATTGTTATTTGTCTATTGATAGCACTGACCTCGTCATCAATGGGCTTTGTATGGAGTGCCTGGCTTATGGAGTCACCGACTGCAGCCGCTTTTCTGGGCGTTATGATGGGCTTTCCTTTATTTTTATTTTCAGGTATCTATTATTTAGTATTTTATTTGTATAATCAAATATAGATAATCATTATCATAAAAAATCATTAAACAGATTGGTATTTTGTATTAAGTTTTAAAGTAAAGTATTACTTAATTTTAGTATCTTTTATTTTAGCTAACATATATACTGTACTACTAATAATAATTTTAGGTTAAATAACTTTTAATTTCATCAATAAATTACCGGTAGTCATCAAATACAGTAATACTATAATAGTATATACAGTATCAAATTCACTATAATAGCTGATATTTGAATGTAATCTTTTAACAAAATATGACATACATGTATATCAATTTTTTAAATTGATAAATTTAAATATATAGGTTTTATGATACCAGTCAAGGATATGCCAAAAGTATTTCAATACGCAACTTACGGCAACTTTATAACTTTCGGGTTAGAAGCGGCCACTACTACGGTGTTCGGGTGGGATCGTTGTCGGAAAAACAAAGGGACGTCTATTGATTTAATGTCGTTAATCACACCGAAGCAGATGACAGACATACTGGCCTCCGATCATATCAATGTCAATTCATTGATGGATCTCATGTCACTGTTTGGTGGTATGACCTCTGAGGCCAAGTCGGTGATAATGAAGCGAATGCAATATGAAGACAATGACTTGTATTATGGAATAGCATTATTGGTGATACTTATGATTATATTCAAAGTTAGCACTTATTATATTTTGTTGCGAAAAATTAACAAATATGATATTTAATACAATTATAGTTATATTATTGTTATGTTACCAAAATTATTATACAATATATTTAAATAACATTATATTATAAAGTAAAGATTATTTCAATTATAACARAATAAGTTAATTATAAAATTTTGAATTCAATTTGTTTTCTGAATATGGATTTAAAATTCTTTCATTTAATAATTACAAACATTTTTTTTGTCAAAAAAAATTAGTTAACCACAGATAAAGTTATAAGTAGTATAAATAGATTTGTTTATTAAAATGAATCAGAGCACACAAATTCAAATTATATTTAATTACTTAAAATGGCAATAAAAAAATGTTAGACAATGTTTACACTTAAAACAAAAAAAATGTGTTTCAAAAATTAAATTATTTAAATAATATAATTTTTAATAAAATGATACAAAAAAATAATTTAAAGTTTAAATAAATACATGTGATTAAATTATGATGATTGTATTAAATGATGACTAAATTATCATTAATATCAATAGAGTCGGTATCATTGGTTACGGGTTCGGTGTGATCGAGCACAGGTATGTCCAAATCATTGATCTCAGTATTGACTTTTTCATGTGTTTTACCGCCACTTTTAATAGCAGTGGCTACCGAAGCGACAATCGCTTCTTTATTATCTGTAATTATTGCACTATTATTTGTCTCCCTTTCCAATGATCTGTTAGTGTTTGTCTCCAAACTATTAGATTCTGTGAATGGCATAGAAATTGGTTTTACAGTTATATCTTTGCCTATCGTTTGCTGAGAAGTTGTTTTAGTTATATTGTCTTTAGTATCACTACTAGTGMTGATAYTATTCGGTAGAGACGTAACTGCAGACGTTTGGGTCATTTCCGGATTTAATGGTTGAATAGTTGTCATAATTGATTCAATATCTGGTGGTAATGTCATTATAGTAGGTTCTGTCACTTTATTAACCAATTTATTTATTTTATCATTTGTTGTCTCACTTGTGATTGCGTTTACTGGAGTAGTAGTMATAGTGKTTATATGGCTATCAYTTGTTATTTCWTTGTTTTTACTTATAGTAGTTRTAGTTTCAATAGTTGGTTTGATTGTTAGGACAGTTGTCTCAACACTTTCTTCACCATTTGATTTTAATGGTGTGGTAGTAAAAGGTGTGGCAATATTTGAAGTTTCAGTAAATATTTSTGTTTTGRTCACAACTGGTTTGATTGTTTCGGGACTCATTGTTATGTCATTCCTGTCGATATCATTATTTTTATTTGATGTGGTTGTAGTAGGCGTAGCTATACKTGTAGTTTTAGTAAACGYTTGAGTTATATCAATCGGTTTGTTAGTTTCGGGTTGAATTGTTAGAACAGTTGTCTCAACACTTTCATCAGCATTTGATATTAACGGTATTGTTGTAATAGGTGTGACTGTACTTATGATTTCAGTAAATATTTGAGTACTGGTCACAACTGGTTTGATTGTTTCGGGTCTTAATGTTTGGACAGTTGTGTCATTCATGTCAATATCATTCATTTTATTTGATGTGATTGTAGTTTCTGTATATTTTTCAGTTRTCACAATCGGTTTGYTTGTTTCGGGTCCTAATGTCTGAACATTTGATTTATCTTTTTCTATATTCTTAATATATTCTGTATTAGTAATTGGTTTAACCTCTGGTAATGTCGTTATCATACTGTCTGTCATTTTATTAACCGATTTAATTGTTTGATCAGTTGTTGTCTCACTAGTGATTGTGTTTACTGGTGTAGTAGTCATAGTGTGTATATTGCTATCATTTATTGTATCACTGTTTTTACTTATAGTAGTTGTAGTTTCGATAGTTTTCTCAATAATAGCCGCAATTGATTTGCTTGTTTCGGGTTGTATTGTTAGGACAGTTGTCTCAATTTYTTCTCCATTTGATAYTAATGGTGTGGTTGTAATAGGTGTGGCTGTACTTGTGGKTTYAGTAAATATTTGATTAGTAGAGTCAACTGATATGTTTGTTTCGGGTCTTAATGTTTGGACAGTTGTGTCATCTCTGTTGATATCAATATTTTTATTTAATGTGGTTKTTGTAGCAATAGTTGTAATTTCAGTTAACATTTCAGTTGTCGCAATYGGTTTGATTGTTTGAACAGTTGTTTTATCTTTTATTATATCAGTTGTTGTAGTAATTGGTTTAACCTCTGGTAATATGCTTATCCCACTGTCTATCACTTTGTTAACCGATTTAGTTGTTTGATCTGTTGTCATATCACTTGTTATTTTGTTTAATGGAGTGATGGTTGGAGTAGTTATAGTATTTATATGACTATCTCTTGTTGTCTGCCAACTGGTACTTGTCTCAGGTGTTGTCACTGATTGAACTGTTGTTTCATCTTTACTTAAATTTGTGATAATTTCTGGTGTAATGGTTGTTATCTCTGGCAATATTGACGGCTTTTGTGTAGTTGTCTGCTTCATAGTTGTTATCTCTGGTAATATTGTTTTGCCATTACTTAAACCAGTAGTTGTTGTGATAGTKGTCATGTCTGCACTTTCATTGATTTCTACCGAATCGTCAATAATCACTGTTTTATTATCTGTAATTATTGCACTATTTGTCTCCCTTTCCACTGATTTGTCAGTAGTTGTTTCAAAACTATTAGATTCTGTAAACGGTATAGAAATTGGTGTCACAGTTATATTTTCACCTATTGTTTGCTGAGAAGTTGTTTTAGTTATATTGTCTTTAGTATCAACACTAKTGATGACATTTTTTGGCAAAGACGTAACTAAAGACATTGTAGTAATTTCTGGATTTAATGGTTGAATAGTTGTCATAATTGATTCAACTTCTGGTGGTATTGTCTTTATAGTAGGATCTGTTACTTTGTTAACTAACTTAGTTGTTGGATCAGTTGTCGTCTCACTTGTGATTGSATTAAGTGGAGTACTAGTCATAGTGTTTATATGGCTATCACTTATTTTTTCATTGCTTTTACTAATAGTGGTCGTAGTTTCAATAATTTTCTCAGTAATGGCTGCAATTGGTTTGATTGTTTCGGGTTGTATTGTTAGGACAGTTGTCTCAACATTTTCTTCATTAATTGATTTTAAAGGTGTGGTTGTAATAGGTGTGGCTGTACTTGTGATTCCAGTAAATATTTGAGTAGTAGTCGCAACTGATTTACTTATTTCGGGTATTATTGTTTGAACAGTTGTGTCATCCCTTTCGAGATCAGTAGTTTTATTTGATGTGTTTGTAATAATAATCGTAACTTCAGATGATTCAGGGGTTGTGGTCATCGGTAGTGGTTTTACTGTTTCAGGAGTTAATGTTTGAATACTTGTTGTTTGTCTGCTACTACTTGTCTCAGGTGTTACTGTTTGAACAGTTGTCTTATCTTTTACTATATTCTTAATATAATCAGTTGTAGTGATTGGCAATATTGTCGATCTATCAGTTGTTGTGATAATTTCTTTAATATCTGGTAATATTGTTATCATACTGTCTGAACCATTGATATCAGAATTAATTGTTTGAACTGTTGTCGTCTCTCTTGTAATTAGTTTCGGTGTAGTAGTAGTTGAAGTAGTAATAGTAGTTACATGACTATCGCCTGTTGTCTGCCAACTGGTACTTGTCTCGGGTGTTGTCACTGATTCAACTGGTGTTTCATCTTTAGTTAATTTTGTAGTCGTTGTTATATTTGTAAATATCGATAGCTTTTGTGTGATCGTCGGCACCATAGTTGTGATCTCTGGCAATATTGTTGTGCCATTAGTTAAACCAGTAGTAGTAGTGACTGCGCTTTCATTGATCGGTAAATGCAATTCAAATTTATCGCTAACTTTGACGGTATCTATTGTTACTGGTATTGGTGTTAAGGTAACAATCAATGCATTATTATCTGTAATTATTGTACTGTTATTTGTCTSTCTTTCAAATGACTTATCAGTGGTTGTCTCCAAAACATTAGATTCTGTAAACGGTATAGAAATTGGTGTMACAGTTATATCTTTGCCTATYGTTTGCTGAGAAGTTGTTTTAGTTATCTTGTCTTTKGTATCACCACTAGTGATGACGGTATTTGGTAAAGACGTGATTGCAGACGTTGGGGTCATTTCCTGATTTAATGACTGAATAGTTGTTGTCATAAATGATTCAATATCTGGTGGTAATGTCTTTATAGTAGGTTCTGTCACTTTGTTAACCAACTGACTTGATTTATCAGTAGTCGACTCACTTGTGATTGCGTTTACTGGAGTAGTAGTAATAGTGTTTATATGGCTATCATTTATTGTTTCATTGTTTTTACTTATAGTAGTTGTAGTTTCAATAGTTTTCTGAGTAATGACTGCAATTGGTTTGATTGTTTCGGGTTGTATTGGTAGGACAGTTGTCTCAACACTTTCTTCACCATTTGATTTAAATGGTGTGGTTTTAGTAGGTGAAGCTGTAGTTGTAGTTTCAGTAAATTTTTGAGTTGTCTCAATCGGTTTTCTTGTTTCAACTTTTAATGTTTGATCAGTTGTCACAACTGGTTTGATTGTTTCGGGTATTAATGTCGGGACAGTTGTTACATCCCTTTCAAAATTAGTTGTTTTATTTAATATGTTTGTCATAATAGATTTAATAGTATTTGTAATATCGATAGACTCTTTAGTAGTTGTTATAACTGGTTTGCTTGTTACTGGTGCTAATGTTTGAACAATTGTCTTATCTCTGTCCTCATCACTAGTACTTAATAGTGTGGTTATCGTGGGTGTAGTTTTAGTTGAGATTGTTGTAGGTGTAGCTGTACTTCTAATTTCAGTAAACATTTCAGTTGTAACAATCGGTTTGATTGTTTCAGGTCTTAATGTTTGGACAGTTGTCTCATCTCTGTCTTCACTAGTAGTATTTAATGGTGTGATTATTGTAGGTGTAGTTGTAGTTTCAGCAAACTTTTGAGTTGTCACAATCGGTTTGCTTGTTTCGGGTCTTAATGTTTGGACAGTT